AATGGGTAAAACGAGAAAAAAGAAAGCTAAAAGAAATAAAGAAAGTGGAAGCAATTACCATCTAGAATTTGATATAATATGCTTTTAACCATTCCTTTAGGCACCATAACCGGCACTTTCTTTGCTTTAGCACCTCGATGAAATTTTATAATATGCCATAAGTCGTGTTCTGCATAGTCAAGCAGTAGCCACACCTATACATACCGTTAAACAGGAAAAAATATTAGTTGGACTAGCAAACAATCACCTTCTTTTCATTCGTTAGGAACACTCGTTGTAAGCATATCAGATTCGGGTGCCTAAAATATGGAAGTTTTAAAAAAAAATCAATAGCAGGACATAGAAAACCAATAAAACCTACTTCAGTTCTCTTAACAATGCAATTTCCCTACATGCCGACATAGAGAATCCTTGACCTTCGATTAACTTCAACGCATATTCTTTAGCAGGATATTTAGCAGAAGGAACTTTTGGCTGGGCTTTAAACACATGTCCGTAAGTTCCACGACCGACCTGAATAGTGACAGCTCAAAAAGAAGACGAAAAGAATATACAAAGAATATTGATGGACCACAACATAACATTCAAAGATGGGATTATCGTCCTCTCTTTGTCTATCTTGCTGAGAAAATCCAGATAGCATGTTCACATACTAAGTGTTTTTTAAACAGTTAGATCATACTTTAAGACGAATCTGATCTGATCTGATCGAACCATAAAAATAGGACACACATGGTGTCTATACAAGAGGGGCTAAAAGAACTGGGTTATGGCAGAGTTTTCAATCCTAATCACATGTCCCAGATATTACCAAAAAGTTGCAGGTCCTCTAAAATAAATGAACAGGCCTCTAAAGCTATATAAAGCTAAGTAAAGTACCTTGTGCCCATCATAATAAAACAGGTCATCAACATTTTCTCGCGTTCGCGCGAGTTCCTGCTTGAAAGCGTAGTCGATCATCTAAAATTTGTGCGCAGATGCGAAAGCCATGTGTTGATCTGGAAACTAAGTTCAATCAAAACAATCCTAGCATTGAACCATAACTTATCGATGTAATAATAACG